CAAAGCTAAAATTTAATCTGAGTTCAGTTAGTTCTCAATCATGTTTGGCTTCACCATGCTCTAACAGCGTGATGCAATTATTTCCTCCGTGGGGCCATTCTTACTAGGAGGTCTGGAATGCACCTTTTTACCAGTCAAGTTCCCCTTCCCTGGACATTGTTGGAGACTGCTCAAGTTCTGTAAAGAGCAAAATTCCCTTTTATAAATGAATTTAACATCACCTTTACTCTTAAAACTATGGCATTGAATGTGTTTTCTGATCCAATCAGCTAAAGGATTCTGGAATCATTAGCTGAGGGAATTCTAGGCCTTGTCCTCAGCATTTGTTGAAGTGCATGAATACTCAGAGTGGCCTTTGTCCCCACATCTGAAGAGGATCATTGACTTTTCTTTCCAAATGTGATTCACTTCATTCTTCCAACCTGAAGATGAACAGTGGAATCTTCAGAGGGAACATCTGATTAACAGAGCAGATTGTCTTCTGGGTGAAAAAGTTATATTGCATTTGCCTGTTTGGGGCTATTACCAAGGCAGACTAAAAAATAGAGTGGCTAAATCCAACTGATGCTCAGACCCTAAGACCATGTGGCACCATATGTTCTAGCTAACAGTAAAGCAATGCAATTCTTAAGTGGTGCCATGCCATATTTTCAAGTCTCTCTGCTAGTACTACCATGGGAAAGACGATCCCTATTGTACTTTTATTGAGGAGGTTGGCTACAAGCTTTTACTTCTGACACACAGAACGAACGTTCACCTTCACCTCACATCAGTCAATGGAGGAGAGGTAGTGTGTTTGGGTAAAAAAAAAAAAAAGACAATTAAATGGTAGAAAAATGAATTATAAACAGCATTAATTAAGTGCATATTATATGCTAAGAATAGCGTTAAACATCTTACATGGGTGGTTTCTCAGAGTTCCTCATAAAAATCCAATTAGTTAAGAACTGTTATTGATCCCTGTCTTAATCTATTCAGGCTGCTATAACAAAGCTAACATAGACTGGGTGGCTCACACAACAAATTTTTATTTATTACAGTTCTAGAGGTTGGGAAGTCCAAGACAAAGTTGCCAGCAGATTTGCTGTCTGATGAAGCCTGCTTCCTGGTTAATAGTCATCTTCTCACCGTGTCTTCACATGGTAGAAAGGACAAGAGAGCTCTCTGGAGTCTCTTTTGTAAAGGCACTAATCCACCTAGGAACATTCCACCCCTGTGACCTAATCACTCCCAAAGACCCCACCTCCACATACATGACACTGAAAGTTGAGATTTCAACATATGAATTTTAGAAACATAAAATTTCAATCAGAGACCCAAGATGGCAGAGGAGCAAGTGGAAGCTATACACTAACCTCCTCCCAGGACCAATCTGTAATTACAACTAAATTGTACAGAAATCACCCTGAATAACCAACTGAACACTAGCTGGAGAGAAGCCTTCCAACCACAGGCAGGTAGAAGAAACCACTTCACCACAACAAGGAATGCAGAGGAGGAGTGAGAGGGCTGGCTGGGCTCCAGCAGGTGGCAGCTGAAGTTCTAGAGGGAAATTTCTGCAACTGGGGATTCCCCCTGAGAAGTGTTGGGGTCTAAATGCCAAGCTGGACTCCCCAGCCTACAATACCAGAGCTGAGAAAGGAACCTAGATAACATTCAGCTGTGAAAAGCAGTGGACTTTCTTTCTGTCTGCTAGGGAGAGACAGATGGAGATGCAGGCAGCCTCTTAAAGGGCCAACACACGAAATTTCATTTGCAGCCACTTACCCTGGGCTCTGGCAGAGAGAGGGCACAGTGGACTAGCAATGCATCAGGAGAGTCTGGGGCTAGTGGCTCAGGGGAGAGAACTGAAGGAACAGATGCCAGGATCCCTGTGCTGAGTCATTCCCAATACTCAGAGGCCATCTTTCTCAGGCAAATCACTCTTCTGCAAATGGCATCAGCTTGAGGTGAAGCAATATCCCACCCACAGGAATTATTCTGTCTACCCTGTGGAGCTTAAGCCAGGCTGCTGATTACAGCTTGAGGCTATATAATTGATTAACAACTATAATCAGTTGAGTGTCTGGGATCTCTGAAACTTTAGCTGACCCTCCTCTGGGCCTGGTGCTGGTAAAGCTGGCCTTGGTGTGCAGCCTGGTTCTTTCTGCACACTGAGGCCCAGCAAAGAGAGCCACAAGCTGTACATCACTGATAGCTCCAAACAGGTTGCCCAGGGCCAGTCACAAACAGCATCTGACAAAGATCTGAACCAGAGTCTTCGCAGATCTACCCAATACACAGAAACAAACACAAAGAGGCAGCCAAAAATGGAAGACAATGAAGTGGGCTCCAAATAAAAGAACAAAAGAATTCTCCAGAGAAGAACTAATGAAATAGAGGCAAGCCATTTATCAAATAGAGAGTTTAGAGTAATAATTATAAGGATACTCAACAGCATGAAAAAAAAGACATAGAAACCGTAAAAAAGGACCAGTCAGAAATAAAGAATACAATATCTGAAATAAATAATACACTGGAAAGAATAAACTGTAGGTTAGATGAAGCAGAAAATCAAATTAGTAAAACTCCCAGGCAGTGCAGCAAAAAGAAAAAGAGAAAGAAAAGCAGCAAAAAGAAAGAAAAACAACAAAGGCAAATAGTTTTAACAATAAAATGGCACTAAATATATATTTATCAATAATTACCTTAAATATAAATGGCTTAAATGCTCCAACCAAAAGACAGAGGGTAGCTGAATGGCTAAGAAAACAAGGCCCATGCCTATGCTGTCTCCAACAGACTGACCTCAGATCGAAAGATACACACAGATTAAAAGAAAAAGGATGGAAAAAGATCTTTCATGCAAATGGAAAGGGGAAAAAAGCTGGGGTAGCAATGCTTGTATCTAACAAAATAGACTTTAAAACAAAGGCTAAAGTAAGAAACAAAAAAGGACACTACATAATGATAAAGGGAACAATCCAACAAGAGGATATAGCCCTGGTAAACATTTACACACCCAACACAGGACACCTAAATATGTAAAGCAAATCTTTACATATTTGTATGTAAGGGGAGAGATCAACAATTATAGTCATTGTTGGGATTTTAAGACACCATTGACTTCAATGGATAGATCTTCCAGGGAGAAAATCAACAAGGAGACAGTGGCCTTAAATGACACACTAGATCAAATGGATTTAATTGATATGTTCAGAACATTTCACCCCAAAGCAGCAGGATATACATACTTTTCAAGTGCACATGGAATATTTTGTAGTACAGACCACATGTCAGGACACAAAACAAGTCTTAATAAATTTAAAGAAGATTGAAATCATATCAAGCATCCTCTCTGACCACTGAAAAACATGCAAATATATAGAAGCTAAATAACAAGTTATCAAACAATGAATGGGACAACCTTGAGACCAAGGAAGAAATCAAAAGACACCTTAAAACAAATGAAAATGAGAACACAATAATTCAAAACCTGTGGGACACTGGGAAAGCAATCCTAAGAGGGAAATTCATAGCCTTACAAGCCTATTTCAAAGAACAAGAAAAAGCTCAAATAAACACTCTAACTCTACAACTGAAGAAACTTGAAAAAGAAAAATAAACAAAGCCCAAAGTGAGTAGAAGAATGGAAATAATAAATATCAGAGCAGAAATAAATGAAATAAAGTCTAAAAAATGATACAAAAGAGCAATGAATCCAAGGTATGGTTTTTTTAAAAAGATAAACAAGATTGATAAACTTTTAACTAGACTCATCAAGAAGAAAAAGAGTGAGGATCCAAATAAATAAAATCAGAAATAAAAGAGGATAAATAACAACTGACACCAAAAAAATACAAAGGATTATAAAAAAATATTATGAACAACTATATGCCAATAAACTGGACAAACTGGACAAAATGGATAAATATTTAGAAGCATACAGTCTTCCAAAACAAAATTAGGAAGAATCAGATAATCTGAATAGGTGGATTACACTTAGTGAAATTGTAATAAGAAAAAAAAAACTACCAATAAACAAAAGCCCTGGACTGGATGGCTTCACAGGGGAATTTTACCAACAATTCTGAGAAGAACTAATAAGTCTCCTACTCAAACTATTTCATACAATTCAAAAGAAGAGAAAGCTCCTAAACTCATTTGACTAGGGCTGCATTATCCTAATTCTAAAACCAGATAAAGACAATAGAGAAAAAGAAATTCATAGGCCAGTACCCCTAATGAACATAGATGCTAAATTCCTCAACAAAATATTAGCAAACCAAATACAGCAATGCATCAGAAAGATTATATACCATGATCAATTGGGATTTATTCTGGGAATGCAAAGTTGGTATAACATTTGCAAATTAATAAATGTAATTCACCACATAAACAAAATGAAGGATAAAAACTACATGATCATATCGATAGATGCAGAAAAGGCATTTGATAAACAGTACCCATTTATGTTTAAAACTCTCAGCAAAGTGGGAATAGAGGGAACATACTGAACATAATAAAGGCCATATATGACAAACCCACTGCTAGCATCATACTCAACAGTCAAAAACTATAAGCATTCCCATTAAGACTGGGAACAAGACAGGGATGTCCACTTTCACCTCTCTCATTCAAGAGTACATAGTACTGGAAGTCCTAGCCACAGCAATCAGACAAGAAGAAGAAATAAAAGGCATCCAAACTGGAAAGGAAGAAGTAAGACTGTCATTATTTTCAGATGACATGATACTCTACATAGAGAACCCCAAAGATTCCATTAAGAAACCGCTAGAACTGATAAATGAATTAAGCAAAATAATACAATACAAAATTAATATCCAGAAATCAGTTGCATTCTTACATGCCAATGATAAACTAACAGAAAGGAAAATTAAGAAAACAATCTCATTCACAACTGCAAATTCACAATTTTATTCTTCTTCAAAAAGAATAAAATACCTAGGAATAAACATAGCCAAGGATGGCCTCTTTGAGGAAGTCACAGTTGCATTTGCACCTCGGAGCTTTTCAGCCCACTCCTGTTCCTGGCTCACTGCTGTTCGCTCTCGTTGAGGAACAAGTCAGTCAGGAAGCCGCGTCGCAGCCATGGCATTTAAAGTTACCGGAAAGACACCCGTGGAACCAGAGGTGGCGATTCACCGAATTAGAATTACTCTAACCAGCCGGAAAGTAAAGTCTTTGGAGAAGGTGTGTGCTGATTTGATCAGAGGCGCAAAGGAAAAGAATCTCAAAGTGAAAGGACCAGTTCTAATGCCTACCAAGACACTGAGAATCACTACAAGAAAAACTCCCTGCGGGGAGGGTTCTAAGACTTGGGATCGATTTCAGATGAGGATCCACAAGCGACTCATTGACTTGCACAGCCCCTCTGAGATTGTTAGGCAGATTACTTCCATCAGTATTGAGCCAGGAGTTGAGGTTGAAGTCACCATTGCAGATGCCTAAGTCATTCTTTTTAATAAATTGACAATCAGTTGTTAAACTTTGTTGACTTTTATTTGTGATACTGGCAGATTTCAGGACTGTAGAGTTGTACTGTGGATTTATTCTACTTTCCAAGTAGACTGTCAGAATTAGATGGGTGTGCTATGGTGGTCTACCCTGTTTTCATTTTCATTATTTTTCCTAGAGTCAGCTAAACCAGTTTACACTTGGAATCATGGACAGTTGAATTTTGTTTATATGAACTTTGGGACTGAAAAATATAATAAAAGTCAAACCTCTGTTGGCATAATAATAGGTGGCATTGTTTAGCTATTAGACTCTACATGCTTTATTTTCTTGAAATCCTGTTATCATTGTGTAGATCCAGAAACTGGCTTCGGTACTTAACTTGGCCAGTGTCCTAGAGCTTGATAGTAGCATAGCAGAGATTTAAATGAGTTTGTAGGACGAGAAATGATTTCTTGCTGTTCTGTTAAAAGTATTTAAAATCTTGTTAGAATTTATAATAGGGTATCTTTCTAAATATATTTTCCGTTTTCTGTATTTCTTTTTATTAGAGAAAATCTTGAGAAAGATTTCTGATAACATATATAAATGGTTTTACAAATACTCCCTTGAGAAAATGAAACAAAACAAAACAAAACATAGCCAAGGATGTAAAAGACCTGTACTCAGAAAATTATAAGACACTGAAGAAAGAAATCGAAGAAAATACAAATAAATGGAAACACTAACCATGTTTATGCATAAGAAGAATTAACATCATTAATATGTCCATAGTACCCAAAGTGATCTATAGGTTCAATGCAATTCCTATCAAGATTCCAATGACATATTTCACAGAACTAGAACAAATATTTCAAAAATTTGTATGGAACAACAAGGCTTCACCTAGTAACAGCAGTCCTAAGAAAGAAGAACAAAGTTGGAGGAATCATGCTACTTAATATCAAACTATACTATGAGGCCATAGTAATCAAAACTGCAAGGTACTGCCATAAAAACAGACATGTAGATCTATGGGACAGAATAGAGAGTCCAGAAATAAACCCATCCCTTTATAGTCAATTAATATTTGACAAAGGAAGCAAGTATATACAATGGGATAGAGATAGTTTATTCAATAAATGGTGTTGGAAAAATTGGACAGATCATGCAGGAAAATGAAATTAGACCACCTTCTTACACCACACACAAGAATAAGCTAAAAATGGATCAGAGACTTAAATTTTAGACTCCCAAACCATAAAAACCCTGGAAGAAAACATAGGCAGCAAAATCTTGGACATTGCTTGTAGCAATATTTGGTCAGATGTATCTCCCCAGGCAAGGGAAACAAAAGAAAAAATAAACAAATGGGACTACATCAAATTAAAAACTTTTTGCACAGCAAAGGAAAACATCAACAAAATAAAAAGACAACCCACAGAATGGGAGAACACATTTACCAACACATCTGATATGGGGTTAATATCCAAAATTTATAAAGAACTTAGAAAACTCAACACCAAAAAGATAAACAACTCAATTAAAAATGGGTAAAGGACCTGAAAAGACACTTTTCCAAAGAAGACATACAGATGACCAATAGGCATATGAAAAAATGCTCAACATCACTAATCATCAGAGAAATTCAAATTAAAACTGCAGTGAGATATCATCTCACACCCGTCAGAATGGCCACCATGAATAAATAAAAAAAACAAGTGCTGACGAAGATGTGGAGAAAGGGGAATGTTTTTGCACTATTGATGGGAATGCAGACTGGTGCAGCCATTGTGGAAAGCAATACCTCAAAATACCTCAAAAAATTGAAAATGGAACTGCCTTATGACCCAGTGATTCTACTTCTGGGAATATATCTGAACACTAATTCAAAAGAACATAAGCACCCCTATATTCATTGTACTATTATTTACAATCACCAAGATATGGAAGCAGCCCACTTGTCTATCAGTAGATGAGTAGATAAAACAACTATGGGGCATTTACACAATGGAATACTACATAGCCATAAAAATGAAGAAAATTTCACCCTTTGAGATAGCATTGATGGACCTGGAGAACATTGTGCTAAGTGAAATAAGCTCTTCAGAGAAAGACAAATGCCATATGCTTTTATTCATATGTGGAATCTAATGAACAAACTGAACTAATAAGCAAAATAGACTCATAGATAGAGAGCAGGCTGACAGCTAAGGTGGGGAAAGTTAAGGGGTGGAGGGATTGAGCAAAAAGGAAAAAAGACTCCTGGACAACAGTGTGGTGATTGTGGGGGGCAGGGGCAGATGGGTACAATGGGACTAAATGGTAATGGAAAAAATACAATAAAAAGCTCAGTCAAACAATCTCCACTTTACAGATGAGGAAATTGAGGCCCAGGGAGAATAATTTACATTGGGAACATTTCATGTGCCAGAAATTGTGCTTAGCATTTTCCTTGGATTATTTCACATAATTCCTTATAATGACCCATTGAGGTAAGACCTATTAGAAATCCCCATTTGAAGTATGAGGCACAGAGTCTTAATAATTTCCCTACGATCACACAACAGTGAGAAACAGCTAAAATTTGTACCTTAGTGCAGTTCTGTCAACAGGCTCTTTTGTTCTGGGCAAAGTTTCAGCCTCTGAGAATTTATCTCCAGCATAACAGTACTTAAACTGTGTTTGAGAAGAGGGAACATCATCTTTAAAAGGCCATGTAGAACAAAAATGGGCCTCAGGGCTAAAAAAGCAAAACTCAGCACCTCTCATGCCTCTGCCTCCGGCTTGGACAGAGTCCTCAGGTCCCCAGGGGCTAAGAGTTCACCGTAGAGAGGCCGGGGGGCCACGTAGGGCACCCAGCTCCGGTTCAGGCTCCACTGACAATTTCCCCTCAACAAGCCCCTTCAAAACCCACTTAACCCAAAGCCTGCATGGCTCTGGCTTCTGACAGGCTATTATTATTGGCAACAGCATTTTACACCAAGTAACTTTTTCAGAGGAATGGTGTGTTCTTTCTTGCTTAGTGTTAATGCAACTATAAAACAAGAGAGCCCAAAATGAGCACCAGGGAAGGGCTGTGGAAAGACTACCGGATGGCGGTCTGGGGAGATGAGGCCTTCATAAGGCACTTTCTTTTTCTCAGATCTCAGTTTTGTCATCTAAGATTATGGATTAGTTTGGACCAGAGTCCTATTCAGAATCTCTGGGTTGTGGTCCTAGAGTCTTTGGGCAACACCACGTGGGTGAGAGGCGATGTTGAGAACTGCTTGCTGAGAGCGGTGGGGTCAGTGCTGTCCAAGTTCCCCGCTGTTTCCAAACCAGCATTCTGCTGGCCTCCGGGACCAACCCTCCCACAGCGAGGGAGGCTCGTGATGTCTGGATGTACCATCTTTATTTTTCTCCCTGTCAGTCACCACCTACCACATTCCCTCATGACTTTGACAGGTGGCTCAGAGATGTCTTTCTACCACATTGCTGTCATCCTGCTTAACTTCAATGCATGAATGGCCAGTCCAACTGCCTGGTCTTTCAGGCCCTTAGTATTTTCACCACCACTGATTTTCCCTTGTATTCTACTACCACCACCCTTAACTGCATTTCCTCAGAGATCTTAAACTGCAGTACCTACTCTCTGCCTACATGTTTCCCTGCTCTAACCAGTCTCTAGCCCACAGGTGGCAAACACAAGGGCTGTGGGCCAAATCCAGCCCTCCACCCTGTTTTATCTGGCCTGACACCTTGTTTTTACCTGGTGGCAGCACCGAGCTCTCACTTAACTGTTACGGAGTAGTTACATTTATACAGTCCTAAAATTATGTTCGGCTCTTTGAAGGCAACTGCAAGGCTGATGTGGCTCCCAGTGAAAATGAGTTTGACATCCCTGCTTCTAGCCATTCCCCTGGTCTCCTTTGCCTGTTTGCCTTTCTGCCATGTATCTGGCAATATCTCATTCCATCACAGCCCACCCCACCGCACCCCATGCCATCCCATGAGGCAGCCAACTGTGCTCTTTCTTCTTTCCCACCCTAGGGTTGCCAAACATACTGGAGAAAATCACACAGTGATGCAGATGCATGCCATACGATGTGTGTTTTTTTAACTCCAGCCAAGGACTCACCATTGCCTAGCAATATTTCCACATTCCTTCTCCCCTTTCTCACAATAGCTATTTCACAACATGCACGCAACCCTTAGGGTACCTTGTTGGGAACTGCCCTGCCTGGTTTCAGAAGCTGTAACCCCCACAAGGCTAAGGCTGAGTGGGCTAATGTTGGACCATAAGCCACTAAGGAGACAAAGCTTATCTCCCTGGCAGGAGCACTGCTTCTGCTCCTTTTATTTCATCTATAACTGGCCCCCAATACTTGGTCGGTTAGCCAATGATGGGTAAGATTCCCCAAGGAGGAAATTATCTAAGACAGGCACAATCATGTGGGAGGCCCCCAGGGAAGGACTTGGGGGGCTATAGCAAAAGGGGGTGATGGACCCTTGCCCCTTGGCTTTGACAAAGCCTGAGTCCTCATTCTGTCTGTGAGAAGTCTCCTAATCTCTTGGCTGCCTTTCTTCCCCTGCCTGACTTAATCCTGAAACAATGACAGAGGGCAGTGCAGCCCTGTGCGGCGGGGGGTGGGGGGGGGGTGGGGGGGGGGTGGGGGGGTGGGGGGGTGGGGGGGGGGTTGGCGGGGTGGGGGGGGGGTGGCGGGGTTCCCTGGGTGATCAGGCCTAAGAAAGAATACATAAAATCCTGTGAAACCTGCTTTGCTAAGAATGTTCTTAATTAAATGATAAAGGTCCGAGCAGGAAATGAGTTTGTCTCCCAAAGTTTTGTAGCCCTTTAGCTAGTAGACCCTGACTCAGAATAGGCCCTCAGAGTTCTTTGTATGTTTTCTATTGTTTGATCCTTACTGCCTGACAATGATTAATGAGCTTTATCTGTATTCCTGTGCAAATGAACCCAATAAAAGCCCATTGAGGAAAAGGCTCTTGGCCCTTCTCCTTTGAGAGACTGGCCACCTTTCCTCCCCAAGGAGATCATGTCTTGGTAGACTTATTCTCATCTGCAGTGGGTGGGGGGCCCTGAAGGCAGAGCCCTCCACCACAGTACCGGCCCCTCCATTATGCCATCTCTATCAATTTCAGCAGACAACTTTCCTTCAAGTTGGAAAATTCTTAAATTTCTGCCCTCTCCCTACTGACAACTTAGTAACACCCAGTAGAAGAGATTTTCTCCTCTTGTGAAGGATTCACTTCTGCACCTGAATTTTGGATACTACCCCTGTGACAGCATAATTCACTGTA